TCATGGGCCATGGGCCATGGGTGATGAGTCATGAGGTTTTGAGTCCACTCAACCGAGTCATTAAGCTGTCAGGAAGTAGCATTAAAAAAAGGGCTTTTGAATTACAGGCTTCTGACGCACAAAAAACTTGACTAGACAAGAAACAACATCAAACGGATCACAAACTGCCAAATCACTGCCAAATCTCTACAGCATTGCGTGTAGGCTTCTGGGAAACCCAAGCAGCAAGCTGCGTTCGTTGGGCGCTGCTGTGAGCATGCAAGCCAACCGCCTTCTCCCTGGCCATTGAATTAGAAATCTTGCCCACATAGTCAAAGCAGTCGACTGACCCTGCTTCATTGGCAAACATGACCTTGTTCTGCGAAAACACAACGCCGCTGGCAATGCACTTCTGCTGCCACTTCCCAAAAACTGACTGGACTAGGTTCTTTCGCGGGTCCTCTCGAACATCTCTGATCTTCTCCAGCTTGGCCATTTGCGACTGATGAAGCCCCAGCTGTATGAATTTGCTGTGCAAACTGCCAGTGGAGAAGTTCTTCTGGCGACCATTCCCCTGATCCACCTCATCCTGAGCTGGGCCAATTGTACTGGAAACCTTGATTGCGTAACATTGCCACAATGAGAAATTATCATAAACAATGAAAACCAAGTTAGCCTACAGCTTTTGGAAAATGCATTAACATTTCACAAGTTGTATCATAGAATCATAGAATCGGACCGGGAAGCAACCAATCGCAACAATCAAGTCGACGCCAAAAAGAGCGGCGGAAAACTTGTGGGTTTGAAGCACAAGTGCCGCAGCCGGCCCAGACGAGCCGTTCAAAGATGCAGAGCTCCCACGCCGAATTCGTGTACGTGCACTGGTGGCAAACAGATCAGACAGCGGCATCGCCCAAAATGAGGGAATACATGCCACACACACAGCTACGAGTTCAGAGTCATGACTCATGACTCTGACAATGCTAAACACAATCATGCAGCATGCCCTCTTATGAATCATGATGCAAATGCTGATGGGGCCCTGTCGCGCTGCCATTGTTCTGAGTTTGCTTGAACCGCACGCAGAGCCATGAATCAATGTGTCAATTTGTCAATGGCAATGTCAATAGGGGACTTCTCCTGTTTCAATTTCAGTCAGTGGTTTGCGCGATGTCGAAAAGAAACTGGAATCTGGGACGTGGCTCAACTCGACGCAATGATTAAAATGAACGCGCTGGAGGACGTCAACCTTCTGCAACGGCCAATTGTCATTGTTTTTGGGAGGGCGGGGCAACCAGGAGCTGGCTGGAAGTGAGGCACAAATGTTCTTTGCTTCAAAATTGACACCAACAACATGTTATTAACTTGAACTTGTGTCAAAACCAGGAACTGTCAAAGCTGCGGTAGAGGCTAGTAAGAATGGCAAAAACATGTTTTTGGCGGCAGTGGCAAATACTAACTACTAACTTTCTCCCAAAACCCAAAACAAACTTGCTTTTTGGGTGGGTAAGTTTCTTTGGAGAAATCAAACAGCTTTCATCATTGATCATTGATCAATTTGCAAGAGCAACAACACAATCGAAACCTGGACCGGTTTCCCATTCAGCCAGGAGCCATCCAATCCACAACCAAACCACCAAACTTGGCGATCCCGGATCTAGAGCAACCTCACACACTGCCAATCCGGCGCTGCAGCGCGCACATCAATTCGCGATGGGACAGCTGACACTGGGACAGCGTGCTTCAATTCAGAAACTCGCATCACAAAGGTATAAATTCAAGCAGAAAATAATGTTTGCTTATTCTGATTCTTCTGCAGTACAGACGTCAGATCAACAGTTAAACTCTCAAAAGTCTCTAGCATCTCTGGCAAGCCCCGGCAGGCCTTGTACTCATCGCCCGAGTCATGCCCGCCAGTGACGCGAAGGCACCCGCCCACGTTCTCCAAGAGAAACACCCTGCAGCGGAACTGCCCAAAGATCAAGCTACTCCGTGAGGGGACCCAAGCCAAAACAATGCTCAAGCGAAAGGAACGCTCGCCTGGGCCTTCTCCGCTTCACGTGCGCTACAGCCTCCAGGAACGGTCTGACCTTTCCTGCCTTAGCTTGATTGACTGACAACGCCTTTAGCCATGAGTCAAACCATGTCAAGCCAAGGACAAGCGCCAGAACTTCATGAACAAAACATAACTTAACACTTCTGCGTCAGAGTCTGAGTCAAACATGTCGCATCACAAAAATGATGCACGCAATCACCGGTTTTGTTGACTCGGTTTGTCGCTGTGTCTTTGTTTTGTTTTGTCGGTTTCGACATCACGCTATGTCGCGCAAATCGTCGTACATACCATCACTGTTCACTAGCGTCACTGTCACTCCTTCATCTTGACAAGGAGCGTGCCGGTTCTCGGAGGACACGTTGAACATCGCCCTCACAGACGCGTGGCTGTACCGGATGGTGGACTCCGTGCTGAAGAGCTTGCACACGAACCCACAAATGTAGATGTCCTCTTTGTCGTATGCCTTGGTTCGGTCAACACGCCAGAGCGCAGTATGGAAACGTCAGAAACCATCATCAGTCCCTGAAAAACCTAAAACCTAAAATCCCGAAATACCCCAACTCCCTAAACCCTAAAAAAATACATGGTCATGTTACCAGGTTCTTGCAAGTTGCAAGTTGCACGTCGCAAACTTAGTCAAGTTGCATGGTTTAAGGACTTAACGATTTCCCATGGGGATGCGGGATACCCGTTGCAAATGGATTTGAATGAAAATCACTGCTTCCTCTTTCAAATAACTAATAACTACTGAGGTACCCGCAATAAATTTGGCAATGAATAAAAACGAAGCGGCACTGCTATCACAATCAGTCTCTCTCTTTCTTGCTTGCTTGCTTTCTTTATTTGTGTTCTTTCTTTTTATTTCTTTATTTCTTTCTTTTCGTTCTGTCTCTCTCTCTCTCTCTTTCTTTCTTTCTTTCTTTCTTTCTTTCTTTCTTTCTTTCTTTCTTTCTCTCTCGCTCATTGCTCGCTACGCCAATGATCTCGTGATTTCGTGCAAGGCTCCGGGTCTGTGTGGCAAGGAAGCGGGCCGATCGCTCTTCCAGATTTGAAGCATCTCCCACCAGTCCTTCCGGCAAGCATGCGGTGGGCTATCCGAATCATTCCAAGCTCCAAACAAGCAAGCAAAACCCGCCCCGACCAGTCAGGTAGGCCTGGCATGCTTCATGTCGCCGAAGCACCTCTCTACGTTGTAGTTCTGGAGGAAAAACTCCCGCGTAGGTCCCTGCGCCGGTCTGCCACGGATATGCCGTGTTTTAGTCCTACGCAGCTCACCTAAGATCTAGCGCTAGACTAAAACTAAAAACTAGGAGTGAGCAATCCAAGGCGCATGAATTTCTGAAGCACAAACTTCCCGAACGGCGTCGGCCGGCAGGAACTCCTGCAAAGCATGCGTCGGGGCGCCCGAGCACGAGCACGCCGTGCTCAAGACCTCAGCTTGGACGCACGTCCTGATTGACATATGACTACTCATATCATATCAAATGTGCTAATTGTTATCAAAAATGATTTAGCACTATGGAAACTGCAACATCGTAGCTCACCAGGCGCGCATCAAACCAACCGTGCCAAGGCCGAAAACGTAAATGAGAAAGCGGTCGAGAGTCGATCGGTCCACCCACTTCTGCTGACCAGTGGTCGGCGGAGAGGCCGATCGAAGCCATGTTTGCCCGCGCCCAAGTCAGAGCAGACCTCCGTTGCCGTCATTGGGTACGTGAAATAAAATAGTAGGAACTGTGTCTGTAGAAATGTTTATCTGTTGTCTACGCATAGTCACATGGCAAACAGGGCGCTGCTCACTTTCAAGCAGTCATGCACCAACGCAATTGCAATAGCAATACAAAGCCTCTCCCTGACAAAAACTTACAGACTCAGTTGGGGCGTGCTGAAATTCTGGCTGAGAAGCGGCGCGCAAGGCGCCTGCACCTGAGCTGCCTCCCAGATCCGCGGGCTCCTCGACCTACACGGGAGAGAGAGTGCCACAAACCTGAAATGAACAATGAAAAGTAGCACTCCCGTTCACAGAAAGTCGAAAGACCTGCCCCGTTTGCTCTGGACACTCAAGCTGGAAGGCAGTGAGTATGTAGTACCAACAAGCTCCTATCAAGAGTTTATTGTGGAAGATGCAACTATGCTATGGTATAAGTTATAAGTTATATAAGTATTAGTAAGTTATTAGTAAGTTACTAGTGAAAGTTAAAGTTATTGGTCGTAGTTATTTTCATTGTTAGTATTTAAGTCTAGGAAATAGTCTTGCTATTTTCAGCCCTTGGAACATTGAAACACAAATAGTGCAGCAGCACAGCCTCGACCGCGAAGCTGACGACCCAGCATCGCTGCCATCATCGAGGGCGCGCCCCTCAAACAAATCGCTCAGTGGCATGCCGAAGCCGAAACTGCTTCGGCCACCAACATCATCCTCAAGCGCCGCAAGGATCCCAAAGGTTCCTGAAATTTAGAACAACAGCAAACAGCTTTGCGCAACACAACCTCAGCCCCCAAAAGTAGGCGCCAAGACGTTTTGCCGTGCAGAATAGGGGCCAAATAGTAAACGCCAAGGGGTTTTGCCGTGCAAAACTAGCCACGTGAGTAAACGCCAAGAGGATTTACCAAGGAAATATACCCAAATTAGTAAACGCCAAGGGTTTTTGCCGTGAACAATGTGACCCCTTAGTAAATGCCAAGGTGTTTAGCCCAACAAAACAAGGCACCGTGAGCAAACGCCAAGTCTTCTTGCCGGCCTGAAATCAGCCCAATTAGTAAATGCCAAGAGGTTTTGCCCTGGAAAATGATGCCAAAAAGTAAACGCCAAGCGGTTTGGCCCTAGAAAATAGCCCAAACTGCCCCACATACAAGTTTCACGTGTTAACCATTCCAAGGGCTCCTCAATATATATATGCTACATATTTAGTGTATGTATGCGGGTAAGCCCCCCTTGACACCCATTTCGCGCCAGTAAAGCCAGGAGCGCTGGTCCTTCTGCCGTTGCTGCCGTCGCAGAAGGCTGCGGCCCAACGCCGGAAGCAGCAGTGGTCCCACCGCAGAAGCTATGCCCTTTGGGCACTGGTGGCGCCCCGACGCATTCGACGCATTTGGATCCCATGTCTTCCATCTGCTTAAGAATACGCTCAAATGGGTATGGGTCAAAATGAAACCACCAGGAAGTGGACCGCAGGTTTTCCATGTTTCCATTTACCAAAGCAAGCCATTTGGGGTACCTATTTTTGACCCACAGCGAAATTTGCAGCCCGTGCCTTCCGTCTGCGAAAATCTGCCTGCTCGAGCTATGTGTTGCTTTTTGTGTTTCGCGGACTGAAGCAAAGGGAGGAGTCGGGGCCTATACATATCGAAGTAAGCATCCAGGAATCAGACAATAAAACTCGACCCCAACAAAAGTTATCAATATGGACTAGAAGCAAGCAAGTTATATATCGCGAAGGCATCTCGTTCCCGTTGTGGGGAAAGGGCCTGTTGCTCCTTTGGCTTTTGGAAGATGACGCAAAACCGCCGTCGGGTATAAGAAATGGCGTGTCGAGATGTCCTTTTGCTTCCTCACTTCCAGAGGTCATGGACTTTCGTCCCTTTTTGGGGTTGGACCATTTTAGTGGCACACAAAAAAGGAACCGTTTTTGGGCCATCCTCTCAGGAAGTGAGTTTGCTTTTCGGAGATTCTTGGCAGTCCCAAGTGACATCAAAACAACTTTTCCATGGCAAGGGAACACTTTCCAAAATTGTATTCAAGTGGACACATCCAACCACACCCTGGTCAATCGGTAATAGAGCAAGCCCCCTTGTCCCCCAACGCACTATCGAGAAGGGCTTGTTGCATGGGTGTATCTTTTTTAGGGGACCTTCAAACTGGCTTCGGTGTTCCTTGACCTTCCTTGAAAACGAAACAAACAAGTACCCTGCTCGTCCATTCTCCCGGGAACCCTGCGCCGCACCCTCAAAAAAAGGAACAGGCCCATTGTCCTTTTGCTTTTCCTTTTGACATCCTGAAACAAAGACACGCCACACACACAGTACGATGCAAATGGCTGTGGGTCAAAACCAACGGGATCCCATTTTGGTTGGTAGGTGAATTCAAGAACCATTGTTTGAACCTATTTTAGTGGTTAGATTGGGATGTTCACTGGGGGGTAACCGGGGTTTTGACCCACCCCAAAATGGGTATGGGTCAGCCACCAGGGGACCGCAGGTTTTAGTCCTTGGTTCCATTTACCAGGGTTCCATTTGGGTACCTATTTGTGACCCACAGCCAAATGGAGCCATAGGTTATGCCCTGCAAAACTCCGCAGGTCTTGTCCTTGGCCTTCGCCTACGCGCTCGCGGGGGACCTTCTGATCTTGGACCCCACCATGGCGTGTCTTCGCTTCCTGGGGGGCGAAGGATGCTGAGAGCGGCGGATACCTCAGCCAAGCACGGGGAGCAGGACGTCGTCGAAGGGTTGCCCGTACCGGTGGCTCATAGCCGGCTCCCCCGGGCCTCATCCGCCAAAAGAAAAAAACCAGGGGCTGTGATACCCAGAGGGTATCGTCACGCTTGGTTTCCTGAAGGAAGGGGAACCCAACCGAAAGTCGACGAGCTTGCGGCCTTTCGGTTTGCTTCTTGTGGTTTGACTGGCATGCAATAGCAGACCTTGAGGAAATACGGTCCGCATTCGGGGACCAGCTGATGTGGCCCCGGCTGGCCCAGTTCGGAGATGCAAAGGCCCTTCTGTCGGCCAAAGGAGACGCGGGTTTTCCACGTCGGAATCCAGAGAATCGCTTGCAAAGTTGCTGCAAAGTTTTGGGTCAGTGGACCTGCCCAGGAAATGGGCGATCAAGGGCCTTCTCTTTTGGAGCCTTCAATGGCAATCATTGACCGGAGGCTTTTGCAAGATGCTGCCATGAACACTTCTAGTAGGTCTCACTTGCCCAAAGCAACCGAGCTTTTGACCGTTTGGTTCCGCAAGCCCATGTTTTGTCAAAAGGTTGACCTTGGCCCCTTGGGCAAGTGAGATGCTGATTCTCTTGTTCAAGGATCCTGTGACAACTGTTGCTTCATGCAAGGCATCATGTGCAGAACAAAATTCAGCGTGTACAGGTGCCAGCCACAAGGGTCGGCGAATTGGAAGTGCTGGGCATTGGGCTGTTCACCGCTGCGCACAGAAACTCCCTTGCAGTGGCGGTCTCAAGTCGAGTGGGTGTTTGTTGTCCATGAGTGTCCTTTTTGGTTGATTTGGTTTAAAAATAGAGGGCCCTGGTTTACCTGGTGGTTCAATCAACTACGAGAGCCATCTATTTTCCCAAAAAGGACACCTATGTTGCTGTCCCTTTCTTTGATTGCTGTCCCCTCTTCGGTGGTGTGTTCCCTTCTGTTTTCCCTGGGTGCATGTTGCACGCGAAGTTCAAGGCCACCTTCTTTGTGATGTACTCAGAGTTCTGCTTTGCGCGCACACATGCTGTTACAAACCCCTCACCCCCCAATCAGATCTAGAAGGACCAGGAGGTGTGATGCCTTCCGTTCACTTCAGCTCCCCTTGGGTGCGATGATGTTGGACTTCCAACTTGTTGCTTGATAAACTATTCATCTTTGGTGCATCTTGCTTGGATGTTAGGGCTTCAATTGTTTGCCAACTAATGGGTTCCCCATTAAACCAGCTACAAAGTTAAGCTTTTAGCAGAGCAAGCAACCGAGTGGACGTGCAGTTGTCAATGGCAGGTGACCGGCTTCCACCAGCTGCCCGGGGCCAAGGGCCAAGGGCCAAGGGCCAAGGCATCGACAAAAACAAAGACTCATATGGCTGTGGTTGTCAAAACCGTTTTAGGATCCCATTTTGGTTGGTAGGTGAATTCACCACCCATGTTTTTGCTATTTTAGTTGTTGGATTGGGATGTTCACTGGGGGTACGATTTGGATTTTGACCCATGGCCATATGAGTGACTGCCTTTATTAAAGAGAACTACAGTAAAGGCCGGGCGGAAACATTGGGGTTGGGGCAACATACTGAATTAGGTGCAAAAAGAGGTAGGGAGCACCCCCAAAACGAGGTAGGGCCATGACACATATGCAACTGAGATCACACACACACACATGCGGCGTTGGAAAACAAGGTCAAGGAGCCCGAACGAGTGAAGGGTTGGAGAACTAGGTGGGGCTCCCACCCGACCATTCAATAGCAAACCACTGACAGGCGTTCCAAGAAACATAGACCAACATGGCTGGCACGTTGACCCTGGCCATTTGTGATTGCCGCTTGATTGTTGTCAGCACTCAGCACGCCGGTATTGGCCTGCTGGATGTTTGGTCATGTTGCTGCGACTTCTGAAGAGAGTCCGAGCAGACCAAGGGTCAGATGCCTTGTATAAGCCGAAACGCAGCTTGTCATGTTCAAGCGTTTGACTCAGTGCATTTTCGGAGAACCTTTGGCCCCTACGAGTGTGTCTTTGTTGAGGGTACCCTTGCTTGGGAGCTTGCTTGGGAGATCAAAAGGAATCTAATCTTTGTGGGGGAGCCCCTCTAAACCCAACTTGATATATCCCAAACTGGTCCACGAAGCTGCGCCGTCGCTCTCCGAGCTGCAAACAAACATGGCAAACACGAATGCGTCAGATCCTGCGGGTGGTGCATAGACACAAACCATGGTCCCTTAGGGACACGTCCAGGACTTGATGAATTTGGACGACGTTCAAAAAAAAAGCATAGAGTTGTAGAGAAACCCATTGGTAAGAGTCAACGTTTTTGCCTACTACATCGCTGGGGGGCTTGACTCAGGATTTTTTCCTAGATCCCATTAAGTTGCACAGTAAAGATGTTACATTGCCCGCCGCTTCCCCCGAAAATGGTGTGGATCCCCCCTAGCAATCAACCGGACCATGCGTAGCTTTCATTGTTCGGGGCAACTTCCCCGAAGCCAACCGGATGATTCCACGATGCCTTCCTTTTTGGCTTCAAAATGTGACATATGAGGACAATGCCGCACACCAAGAAAGGTCGGACCTGTTCCCCTTCAGTCCCTTTGGCTGCCATGGACGACGATTTGGCGGCCGCCCTGGCCATGTCCATGGAAGGAACTGAGGCTAGAACGAGACGAGTGGAAGGCTTGCGAACCAGAAGTTCGCGGAGCCCTTTGTTTTTTGACACTCTCCCCCAGCCTCATGGAAGCTCCCCGGCCCCCTTGATAAGACTTGGTTCCATGTACAGAGGCCTTCTGGGGACTTCCGCGAAAGTTTGAGGCAGTGTGCTTCCCCTTGTAGCTCCTCTCTTTTTTACCTGCCCTTGATATTGGATATGTCAAATCGGGTTTCAAGAGAAGCCCACTTGGAGCTTCCCCATTGAAGGGTTCTCCTTTCCAGAAAGCTTTCGAAGAGAACCATTTAGGGAATCCGCCGATTTGGTTGATGGGTTTGAAGGGAGAATTGAAAGGGAACAAACCACCCGGAAAGGGCCTTCTGGAGAGCCCGTGTGTACGGCAAGACACGAGCTGGGGTTGCTTTGAACCGTGTAGGGTCCTTAAGGCCAATTTGGTCACAAAGGCAAGTCTGTAAGTCGAGGTGGGTGGTCCGAATAATATGGCCCACAAGCAGTTGACAATGTTGTTTTTGCGGGGCGTTTGTGTCAGACAGTGAGAGGAAGCCAGTTAGACTGTGAGGTTCCAGAGTGGAAAGAAAAAGCCTGGCAGCCATCCGATGGAGTAACACCGCAATTCATTGGCCCCTGAGTTTAACAGCTCATACCACATATATATGCGTGCAGAGACTGAGATTGCAAGGATGCCAAAAGGAAACCGCCGTTTTCGGTCCCCCATTTTGAGGGACACTCCCAAGGCAGTTTCGACTATCGGCCATAGTGATTGCTGCTCATCCGGCCTGTCGAGGTTGGACAAATCTGACGCTACCCCTTGGTGCTGAATCTAAATGAGCGACGTTCTTCAACCCCTGCCTGCACTTCAAAGTAGTACTCGGCAGGAAATATAGTTTTCACAATGTTGAATTGTCCTAGGTCGCGGAAGAGCGGCGCAAGGTTCGCGCAAGGTTTTCTCATTTATGTACTCGCGGAAGCTTCGCGGAAGCTGCCCGAAAACAAGCAATTGCAGTTTTTTCCTTCAAGCGCGCAAGCGAGAACAAACCTCAATTCCATTTCTCAATCCGCGGAAGCGACGTGGAAGCGATTCCCTCTTCAACACCTCTTGCGGAAGGAACCTTTCATGCCGCGGAAGCCTTTACGGACGGGATTTGATATTTCTCTTCGGTCGCAACTAGATTTAAAACACTGCTCAAATGAGTGTGTCTTTGTTTATACCCCCCCAAATAGGTTTCTGTTTTCTGTTGATTTCCAATTAGAAACACGAAACAAACATGCCTTTCCGTTGTTCGGGTCACTATTGAGCAAGGGGATGATCATTGCTTCGATTCTTTCATGTTCCACCGAAAGCGAAGAAACACAAGAGAACGTGGCAAAGTCAGCAGAAGTAAGAGGGGTGGATCTTTTGCCAGTTTCTTCCAGACTCCATGGCTTACTAACGTGACCACCAGACAGGAAATGTCCTTGTCAACAGGCCCTGGGTCGTACACCCTTTCACATCAAATGGGTGTCTTTTTCTGGCCCCCCCAAAAAACAAATGAACAAATGCTGTGTTCCTTTTGGTTTTCCTTCAAGACACACCGGTGTAACAGCAGTCGCAAGAAAAGACTCACTGCGTGTTTTTGTTGGCTCCCAATAAGCTGCAAAACATGTGGCCATCGCCCATTGACAAGCCTTCGGACTTTGGCAGTCAAATCATGGCCTGAACTTTCCTGTCGAACCCCGCATATACGAGAACCAACTCCAAAATTAGGAAGGCCCCACGTGAAGCCCCCCCAAGCTGAGAAGCAACAAAACCGCGGATGAGTTTGCCGGTTTCCAAGCATGAGCCAGAGGCGTTGGCTTCTAACTCACATTCCCTATTCCCTGTTGAATGAAATGAATGTGGTGTGTCGTTTTTGAGGGTACCCCTTTGCTTGCTTGGTTTTGGAATGAAAGCAAGGTGAATCGATAACCATTTTTTTTTTTGAGGGGGGGGGTCCCTATTTTAAGTGACGCCCACGCCATGAATGACCCGGCGACCAATCGCAGGCCAGCAGCAGTCAGCAAGCCGCCGCGCAGCTGGCGGAGCAGAACTCAAAGGCCCGGCTGGCGGAGAACGGCACCCTCGAGGTGCTCGGCACGCTCTTGGGGAACTTGGCCACTTGGATCTCCAAGATCTTCAACATGGCTCGTTTTTTTCGCTGATTTTTTTGTTGTTGTTTTTTGGGGGGGTTGGAGCCCACGCTATCTCCGGGTAGGGCTGGTTATTTTGATAGTTGGGACTCTTGAATGTTGATCCTCCGTGCTAACTTTCAGGAGGTCAGGCTTAGGGTGGCCAGGTTTGAAACAAGCGTTCTGCGCTTTTGTCATCATCAGCCGAACGCATCTTGATGCTTGTGTTTCCACACAGCTAGGCAGAACGCATATTCGGGGGCAAATTGATAGACGGCGGTCAGGTTCTGCGCACTTGGGGTAAGTGGGGGTTGGCAACGCAAAATCCCAGCCAGAAAAGGGCCTGAAATCGCTGAACATCAGCTGAACCCGCAGAACTCGCCGAACTTCACCAGAATTCGCTGAACTTCCGCGGAATTCACTGAACTTCAGCTGAACTCGCTGAACTCCAGCTGAACTCGCTGAACTTTATTTTAACTCGCCGAACTTTAGTTGAACCCGATGAATTCGCGAATCTTCAGCTGAGCTTGTCGAACTTCAGCTGAACCCGCTGAACTCGCGGAACATCAGCTGAACTCGCGGAACTTCAGCATCAGTGCCGAGCTGCATCACAAAGTCATCGACGCTTTTAGGGGGAAGGATAAAGGTGTGCGCAGTTGGAAGGGCTGCTGTGAATTGCGAGGTGGTTTCCAAACTAATTATGTTCTTGGAAAGCGTTCCATGGGTGGGCTGGGAGGTGCTGAACGCTTATGGCAGTTCCTTTTTCAACAGAATGCTTCCGTACACTTCCTGAGCCCACACCGCACAAGCTCGTGAAATTTAACAATCCTCCGGCTTGTTGTTGCCCGGTTGGACTTGGAACATTTTGGGAAGACCGGTTTAGAGTGAAACAAAAGGGTCAGACTTGTTTTTGGGTCCGCACAGGAAGTGAGATTCTCCTTTTGTCCCCGAGTTTTTCATTTGATGC